AGGCAATTAGGAGCTAAAAATAGTGCGCGAAGGTACACAACAGTACATCTAGTATGTTCACACTGGTGGGAAAAAAGAGGGTTATATATAGGCATGCATATGCATAGAATGCTTCTGGAAGGATACATTAGTAACAGCGGTTGCCTCTAGGGAGAGGAAGTGGAGGACTGTGGCCTGGGATAGGAGAAAGATTTCCTTTTCGTCGGAATACCGTTCTGTACCGCCTGGATTTGTGTTAACCATGTCTTATCTTTTTAATAGAATTCAAGTCACTGAATTTTAGTTCCTACTTTAGTTACCGAAATAATAATGACATTCAGCGTCCAGAGCGTCAGCTGGGTTTTATCTCAGAGCCACGGCCAGGCTGAGGATGTCCGAAAGTTCTTGATGTTTTGGGAAAGGATGAAAGTAACATTTTTGGAGCAACTCCTGGGTGTGAAGGGCTTTGGTTTCCATGAGCTCGTTTAATCCACATAATAATCCTGGGAGAGAAATCTACCTCATGGACCGTCAACTCCGTTTCCTCGGAGGGGATGCATGAGTTAAAGTGCTTATTTTTCTTCCCGTTATTGATTTGTAGGAGAAATAAAAAAACTGGTAAGAAAACGGTGGCTGTGGGGAATTTCAGATAGCTGTTGCATGGGACATACTTACACTTTCAAATTAGTCCTTGTGTATCTGAAATTCAAATTTAGTTGCGTGTCCGGAATGTTTTTTAACTTTTAAAAAATTGAGATATAATTGGCATCCCACATTCTAGTAGTTTCCGGGGCACAACATTCAATACGTGTGCATATACTGCAAAATGATCACCACAATAAGTCTAGTTAATATCAATCTGGTATGCTTCCCCATGTTTCAAAAAAAATAGATTTTTTAAAATTTATGATTATTGTTTTTAAATATTTTATTTTTGGGGCACCTGGGTGGCTCAGCCAGTGAAGCGTCTGCCTTCGGCTCAGGTCGTGATCCCAGGGTCCTGGGATCGAGCCCCATGTTGGGCTCCCTGCTCGGTAGGGGGCCTGCTTCTCCTTCTCCCACTGCTGCTCCCCCCGCTTGTGCTTGCTTGTTCTCTAGATGATTTTTTACATTAAATCGATTTGATGTATAATTTTCATGTTCTTTAAATCCGCTATGCCAATCTAAGGTTTTTAACTGGTATATTTAGATCATATACATCAAATGTAATTATTTGCTAGTTATCCTGGAGATCAAGACCACCATTTTATTGTTGGTTTCCTGTTTGTTCTGTTTTTGTTTCTTTTCCCTAACTGCCTGTGTTTTGCTTTTACCATTTTTAGAATTGTATTTTAATTACAGGCATATGTCAGAGGTATTGTGGGTTCGGTTCCAGACCACCGCAAATAAAGCGACTATCACAATGAAGTGAGTCAAATGAATTTTTTTGGTTTCCCAGCGCATATAAAAGTTATGTTTACACCACACCGTAGTCTATTAAGTGTGCCATAGCATTATGTCTAAAAAAAAAGTATTTTTTTGGAAATATTGCAAGAATTACCAAAATGTGACACACAGAGATGAAATGACCAAATGCTGTTGGGAAAATGGTACCAATAGACTTGCTTCATGTAGAGTCTCTATAAACCTTCAACATCCACAAAGCTGGGGTGCCTGTGTGGCTCAGTGGGATAAGCGTCTGCCGTCGGCTTGGGTCCTGCTCCCGCGTGGTGGGGAGCTTGCTTCTTCTCTCTCTGCCCCTTCCCCTGCTCATTCTCTCTCTCAAATAAATAAATAAAATCTTTTAAAAACATCCGTAAAGCACAATAAAGCAAGGTATGCTGCGTCTCTTTGTATAACATTTTAGCGACTGCTCTGGGCATGATATAAAATGTACATAATTGATCACGGGCTACTGATGTCTACGTCTTAACATTTTGAGTGAAACCTAAAAACTTTATCTCCCTTTATGTCCCTTTACCCTCCCTCATTCATAATCGTCATTTACCCTATTCATTAATTTTTTCTAGCTTTATTAAAGTATAATCGACCAGCATATAATTGTCTTAAATATTCTACATACGTTGTGAACCACACCAGGCAGGATTATAAGTTTTGCTTCAAACATCAAACCCGATCTAGAAAACTCAGGAGGGGAAGGATTTCTACTGTATTTACCCATATTTTGGCTAACTGTGTTTTTCTTCTTTCGTGATGTTCCAAGAGTCGATTCCTTCTTTTGTCAATTCCTTTCTGTTTAGAGAATTGCCCTTAGCCACTTTTTCAGAGTAGGTGCCATGATGACATACCATTCTTCGCTTTCCTTCATGTAAAGAATGCCTTGATTTCTCCGCTCGTGCCTGAAGGGTATTTTCATTGGATTCTGGCTTGATAGTTTTCTGTTAGCCCTTCCTTCTGGCCCCATGGTTTCTGATGAGAAATCTGCTGTCATTTGAATTTTTTCCCCTATAGGTAAAGTATCATTTCTCTCTCCCTACTTTTGGGATTTTTTTCTTTGTCTTTAGGTTTTAAAAGTGTGACCGTGATGTGTTTCAGTGTGGATTATATTTGGGTTTATCCCATTTGGGGCTCACTCAGCTTCTTCAATCTGTTGGTTTTGTTTTTTTCTTTTTTTGCTAAATTTAGGAAGTTTTCAGCCATTATTTCTTCTAGCACCTTTTAAACCTCATCCTTTTTCACCTCTCCTTGAACTCTGAGGTCATGAATGTTAGATTTTTTTGGTTAGAGTCATACAAGCCCCCAAGTTTCATTCTTTTTCCTTTCCATCTATTTTCTCTCTGGTGTTCCAAATGAGTCATCTCTGTTGTTCTATCTTCAAGTGCACTCACTGATACGTTCCTCTGGCCCCTCCACTGTGCTGTTGAGCCTAGCCATTGTAATTTTTTTTTCAGTTCTAAAATCTCCAATTGTCCTTTTATATTTCTATTTCTTTGCTGAGATGGTCTATTATTTTTTTACTAGTTTCAAGCATGTTCGTATTTGCTCACTGAAGCATTTTTATGACGACTGCTTTAAAATCTTTGTCAGATGATTCTAACATCTCTGTCATCCTGGGGTTGGCATCTATTGATTGCCTTTTCTCAGTGAGCCTGAGATCCTCTTGGTTCCTGGAAATACGAGTCATTTTTTATTGCAGCTTGGACATGTGGGGTGTTATGAGACTCTGGATCTTGTTTAAAGCTTCTATTTCAGCCAGCTTTCTCAGATACCACACCGGGGAGAGGAGAGACATAGTCTCATAATGAGCCAGGTGAGGTAGAAGTCCAGGGTTCCCATTCAGGCTCCAGTAACACCCAGAGGCTGAACAGGAGTGGGAGTTCAGGATCCCCAAGAGGCCCCTTTTTGAGGGGCAGGAGTACCCCCCTGACAATATGGGGTGAGGGCCCCCTGGTGCCAGAAGCCCAGGGGCCCATGCTAGGCCTTTTCTGAAACCACTCTGATGGGAGTTTGGGGATGCATCCTTACAGCCTAGCAAGGGTAGAAATCTTGGCTGCCCATGGGGTCTCTGTTGGCTTGGGGCAGGTAGAGCTGGTTTTCTGGGTTCCCTGTGTCTCCAGTGCCAAGTCCAGGATATGCAAGGCAGAAAGAAAATCCAGAAGACTCACCACTATGTTGTTGCTCAGGTTATGAGAACCCTATAGCTACTCTACCTTCCTCTCTCAGTCTTTCAGAGTCTTATTTTTTTTAAGGATTTTTATTTATTTATTTGAGAGAGAGAGAAAGTGAGAGACAGAGCATGAGCAGGGGCAGGGGGGTGCAGAAGGAGAGAGACAAGCAGACTCCCCATGGAGCAGGGAGCCCGACTTGAGGCGGGGGGCTCGATCCCAGGATTCTGGGATCATGACCTGAGCCAAAGGCAGATGCTTAACCGACTGAGCCACCCTAGGCACCCCCAGAGTCTTATTTTTTAAAGTATATAATGTCCTGTATTTGACAGTCTGTATTTTTATTTTCGAAAGCTGGCAACCCTACCTAGGATCCGTATTAATAGTTGAGGCAGTGAAGACATTGTGGGAATTTTGCATGCATATTCAACTACAAGGAGTGGAACAATGAGGTTTTCTCAGCCCCTATTAACTCATAAAATTCTTTTTTTTGAGAGAGAGAGAGAGAATTCAGCTGAACAGCCAATTTTCTTGCACATTTCTGTTAATCAAAGTTTTACTGTGCTTCTAGAACCTTGGCAGACTTCCCTCCCCATATATTTGCCCGTGACATTGAGTTTGTGCTAATGAGGCCCTCTGCTGTCTGCAGACAGAAGGGCAACGCCATAAATCTGGAGGCTGTAGCAAATTTCTCTGCAGTGAACAAGGTGGATCAGGAGTTCATAAATTACGTTCAATTATTAGTGTAGCCGACCCCCAAACTTTGGGGAGCTGGAACGCCCTAGCTCTAACTTCAGCATACTCTTTCTTTCTCTCCTCACAGAGATGTGTAGTGGCATGGTTTAAAAATGAAGGTTATATCAAACTGCATTTTTGACAGTTAGTGACAAGCTCTCCCTTTAACACCCAAATTGGGGACCGAGAGCCACCTTGGGCCTTCGCCAAGGCAGGCCTGGCCATAGCAAGCCCGTACTATCTGCCAGAGAGAGAAAAGGACTCACAGAGGCCAAGCTAGGACATGGGGTTGTGCTAGCCTGGAACCTCCCAGAGCCTTTACTCTGCCAGACTAAGAGGGAAGTAGAACAGTGTTAAAGCTAGGGAGGCAGGAAGGCCTCAACCTACGGAAATAGGCTGGCTTTCCTTCCCTATTGCTTTCTACTCCATTCAGGCTTTTATGGACAGAGTCCCCAGTAGGGGCATGAAGAGAGGCAGTGGGAGCCGACCTTGTTCCTCAGCAGGGGAAGGAAGTCTGTCAAAAGGGAGCATGTTGCATAGTCTCAGGAGCTCCCCCCCCCCCTTCCCGGAAGGACAGCACAACACAGCTACTCTCCCCCCTGAAGCTTTTCCCTCCCTCCCTTCCTCCAACCCATGGGAACAAAATTGCAGTTGGTACTGATTCCCTGTTGCTCCCTCCAGGGAGGAAGGAGGCGAACTCGTGCATACTGAGTGCCAGGAACCGTACCAGGTGTTTGATAGAATTTGCATCAATATTCACAACAGCCCTACTGCTAATGATGGTAAGTAACACTGCTGTTGATGGAGGGTTGGGTTATGCATCAAGCACTATTCTACGCACTTCCCAGGAGGTGTTTCATTTCATCCTCACCCCACCGCCTCAAGCTCTATACTATTACTGCTCCCTTCTTGACCACACAGCTGAGGAGTGGCGGAGCTGGGATTTGAACTCAGGTTCGACTTCGAAGCCCACTCTCTTAGTCACTACACTCAACTTTTGGAAAATAATAAAACTCAGATTTGAATCCGGGTCTATGAAGAACTTTCAAACCCACGGGTCTAGGCAAGGAAGTCAGATTGATAAAAGCTGTGTGCCCGAATCCGCAGTCCTACACGCAAGAGGGCTTGTGACATGCACACACACACACACACACACACTCAAACACACACGTGTGCACATACACACACACTGGAGAGAACTTAAGGCTGTCAGGTTGCACCTCAAGCTATTGATACCCTTCTGCTAGGCCAGCCACGTAAGAACCACAAGGCCCCTGCTAGTTAACTGCCTTCTCCCCTCCCTGTGATGCTCTCACTGCTTCCTTAGAACTGCTGCAGAAGTCAAACTTGACCATCCGGAACCCTGCTGGAAACCGTAGCTCTGTAACTGTGTGATTGGCCCAAGTCTTTGTTTTCTCACCTCACTTCCCGCCCAGTGTCTGGAGCCACATCTGCCTGCTTTATAATCTTGAGGTGTCCACAGGCGAGATCCCGGGTGGTTTTGTGTGCAGAATAAAAAGGCCTCAGTGACCCGTAAAAAAACAAAAAAATAAAAAAATAAAAAGAACCACAGAGGTAGTAGCTACTCTAGTGTGGAGAGTAGTGGCTGAAAGGAGTCAAGAGGGTGCTGGTCAGGTTCTGGCTATTTTTTTTTAAAGATTTTATTTATTTATTTATTTTAGAGAGAGCGTGCGTGTGCATGTGCACACGCACGAGTTGGGGGAAGGGCAGAGGGAGAGGGAGAATCTCAAGCAGACTCCCCACTGAGCATGGAGCCCCATGTGGGGCTCCATCCCATGACCCGGAGATCATGACCTGAACTGAAATCAAGAGTCGGGTGCTCAACCGACCGAGCCACCCAGGAGCCGCATGTTCTGTTTTTATTTATTTATTTATTTTTTAAAAGATTTTATTTATTTATTTGACAGAGAGATAGAGAGCACAAGTAGGCAGAGTGGCAGGCAGAGGGAGAGGGAGAAGCAGGCTCTCCGCTGAGCAGGGAGCCCGATGCGGGACTCGATTCCAGGACCACAGGGTCATGACCTGAGCCGAAGGCAGCTGCTTAACCGACTGAGCCACCCAGGCACCCCCCCCGCCATGTTCTGTTTTTAGATCTGGGTGCTGGGTATGTTCAGTTTGTGAAAATTCAGTGAGCTATAAACTTGTGAATTGTTAACTTCCCTATATATTATACGACAAAAACTTTTGATTTCTTCAAAGACATACGAAGCTCTGGGAAGATCAAGTAGACATACTTTTTCTATTCCTTCTGTTAAGTACAACTGAAAGTTCTGGCCATTAGATATGAAACAACCATAGAAGACTCTGAGAGGTGGAGAAAAGGCAGCGTAGCTAGGGGTACTGACTCAAGGAACAACATGGTTGTGAGTTCTCTGGGTTTTCTTTTTGCCTCATATATTCCAGACTTGAAGCTGAAGAAGCCAATGACCAGGAAACGCCAATGGGCACAGGCAAAAGAACCCCAGCAAAAGGCATTTCTCTCTAGGAAAGGGGCAGCCTAAGAAAACAAAATTTTAGATATCAGTTTTTCTACTGTATCCAAACAGCACAGGAATAACTGGGGCCCCACCCCCACCAGCTAAGGCCACGTAGGGAGCAGAGACTTCGACTTCGGGCTGTAATGAGCACCACAAGCCGTCACCTGCACCCCCTGCCAAGGGGTGTCAGAGAAAACTGAGCAAGTAGAGAAGTGGGACTTTCATCTGGTTGAATGATAATGAGGTTCCTCCCCTCCAGCGGTATCAGTGGAGACCATGCGGGGCGCCCGGACTTCCATCCCCACTAGGCAGTGATATCTACCCTTCCTGGCTGGGTAGTGTCAGATCTGGTAGAGACTTGAAGATTTTCACCATCACCTAGCAGTAGCGAGACAACATTTCTCCAACCTTGTGGTGTCAGTGGAGGTCATGTGGGGAGTAGCTACAAGGAACTCCTACCCCTCCCAGCCAGGAGGAATCAATGGAAGTCTGGCGGAAGCTGGAACTCCCAATCCCACCCTGCAGTAACAAGGAGGCTCCCCATTTGGCTGTCAACAGACGCTGAGTGGGACCTGTACTTCAACCCCCAGCTGGTAGTCCTGGGGTGATGCCAATTTCCCCTTCTAGGGCTGGAGCAGTGTCAGAGGGAGCCAGCTAAAACAGCTTGGAAAGACTTGATTGGACACCCCAGCAAAGAGGATAGAAGGATGGCAAATAAGCACGTGAAAAGATGTCCAATCTCATTAGCCACTAGGGAAATGAAAATGAAAACCACAATGAGACATCACTATACACCGATCAGAGTAGCTAAAATTAAAAAAAAAAAAAAAATTAGTGACAACACTGAATGCTGGTGAGGATGCAGAGAAACTCTTGCCGAAAACCGATCTCTGTGCTCTGGAGCCGAAATAGAACACAAAGACAGAATTTGGGGATAAAGAAGAATGATAGGGGTGCCTGGGTGACTGGGCATCCGACTCTTGATTTTGGCTGGGGTGCTGATCTCAGGGGTCATGGATCGAGCCCCAAGGCAGGCTCCATGCCGGGCATGGATCCTGCTTAAAATTCTCTCTCTTTCCCTCTGCCCCTCCACCCCCCGTTTGCTCACTCGCTGTCTCTCTCTCAAAAAATTAAAATAAATTAATTAAGAGGAGCAATAGTTTTATTACTTTGCAAGGCAAAGGAGGCTGCAGCAGGCTAATGCCTTCACAACTGCAGACCCACCCAGGGAGGAAAAGGCTGAGGGGCTTTATAGGAAAATACAGAATCTGGGTGGTTTTGATAAGAATCTGGTATATGCTGGGAGCCACGTTTGATCATGTCTTCAAGGTAGTCTCATGACTGGACTAGTACAGGTGCTGGCCATCCCAGTCTCGTTACCTAGTATACATTGAAGTCAGTGAGATGTCAGTATCAATACGGAGTTCCTGGAACAAAGGCTTCTACAGAAGAACAAGCGAAGGGGAGAGGGTGGCTTCAAGAATGAGGAAAAGAAAAATCTGTTCACCTCAGTCAAGCCTTGCTGAAGTGTTAAGTGTGTCCATCTTAATTTCCATCCATCTTTATGTTTCTATAGCAGTTTGAAAACTGGATCACTCGTATATTGCTGGTAGGAATGCAAAATGGTACGACCGCTCTGGAAAACAGTTTGGGAGTCTCTTTAAAAAACAAACAAACTTAACATGCAACAACCATACAACTCAGCGACTGCATTTCTGGGCTTTTATCCCGGAGAAGTAAAAACTTAGGTTCACACAACATCCTATACATGAATGTCAACAGTGGTTTTATTCTCAGCCAAAACCCAGAAACACAAATGTCCTTCCTTAAGGATATGGTTAAACAAACTGGTACAAGTATACCATGGCACGACAAAGAAACAAACTATTGAAACATACAACCTGGATGAACCTCCAGAGAATAAGGCTGAGTTTAAAGAAAACGCCAAAAGGTTACATCTTGTTGGATTCTATTTTTACAACATTCTTGAAATGACAAGATCTCGGGAATGGAGCACAGGTTAGTTAATTGCCAGTGGTTAATGAGGCCCCCCCCCCCCCCCCCCCGTGGGAAGGAAGTGGCTGTGGTTATTTAAGGCAGTGGAGGGTTCCTTGTGGTGATGGCACTCTGTATCTTCTTTGTATCAATGAATCAATTCCAGTTGTATATTACATTTCAGTTCTGCAAGATGTTACACTGGGAGAAACTGGGTGAAAGGCATATGGGATCTCTATTGTTTTTTTACAGCTGCCTATATGAACCTGTAATTATCTCAAAATAAACATTTTAATTAAAAAAAAAAGCATAGGGACTCTGTTCAGCATGGACACAAGGCTCTGGAGCCCTCACCACCACCACCCCCTTCCATGAGTCTCTGATTGCCATTCTCTATCTGGGTTGCTGATGTAGCCTTCCAAGTCTGGCCTTGGACTTGTTAAACGGTTATTGTAGATCTTCCTCAGTTAGCCTGCATCTGTTACCTCTTGCTTCACTCAGCCATACCTCCTAAATACACTGAAATAATCTTCACTGTGATGACGTGACAGATCATGAGTTAAGGCTTTTCATGCACATTTCCCAAATTGTCTGTAATGCTGCCATGAACGGTCTATAATTTTTTTCTTTTAAAAAAATTTTTTTTTAAGATTTTATTTATTTATCAGAGAGAGAGAGACAGAGGCAGGCAGAGGAGCCCGATGTGGGACTCAGTCCCAGGACCCTGGGATCATGACCTGAGCCGAAAGCAGATGCTTAACCGACTGAGCCACCCAGGCGCCCCTGTCTGTAATTTTCAAAAGACCCCCATCTCTTTCTGTCAGAACCTTCTGTTGGCTTCTATTTATTTTCCTCCTGTAGATAACCTATAACCCAGACTTTTATCTTGTGCATTTTAAAACCCTTTTTACCTTTCTCCAGTGTAGCCCATCTTTCCTCGGGTTCCATGACCTCCCCCAACTTCTCCTTGTCCTTTGGATTCGAACACCCAGAATACTCGAGCCTGGCCTCGTTTGCAGCCCCGCGGCTTCAGGAGTATCTGGAGAGGGCATCTGGGCAAAAGTGTTTCGATGGACTCCTCTCCGCTGGCTGCAAAGGCTGCCCGTTGAACCCTCCTGGCGAGGTGCCCCGGGCGGGGTACCTGGGACTGAGCAGTTCCTCAACCGAACTTCAGCCTCATCCCTGATACGCCACGGTACCAGCGTCTGCCGGGCACTCGGGCATCCTTCTCCCTCAATCAAACGTCAAACGTCACCAGGTTCTGTGGCATTTTCCTCCCGAATCTACTA